TGTGTCGCCCCATCAGGCAAATTGCCCAAAGAAGCATCACTAAACACCACTAAACCTAGAGATTCACAGGGTCCAAGATGTTGGAACTTCAGGGTCACATCTTCATTTTTAGTTTTCTGATGACTTTATTGGCTTCCATCATATTTTTCACCGTAGCATTATTCATAGACGAAGCCAGGCAGCATGCATCAAAAACTATGTCCGGTCTGCTCTTGTCGCGGCTATCCATAAAATTTGTCCAACCCCTTGATCTGAACATCTCAAGTTCAGACGTGCTCAGGAATGCTTCCTTCTTTAACATTCTATCCCTTATCTATGTTCAGATCTGAGTCAGGTTTCTCCACGTTAGTCATGTTGATGAAGAAGAATAGTCTCATTGTCACAGAGTAGTTTCTATGCCGACATACTTGAAGGTGCTCTGTTCTTCACGCCCAACATTGAACGACTCTCTAATAGATGCAACGACAGTTTCTTCAAACTCTAAAGTAATCCCCAAACAAAGTCAGCCCACATGTATTAGCAAGCACACCTTGCAGTTTTCCATTTGATATGTAATAGAACACTGGCGGGTCAACTTTAGATACTCTTGCCCCACTAGACTGCAGAACTTCACAGACCCTGGTATACCAATACAGTGATGCATCTGCCAAGCCATAAACACATTTTCTGTAGTTTCCACGGGACTCCTTTCACCTGAGCTTCCCTTGGGGCTTAAGGTAAACATCTCTGGTTAAAGCTGAGCCCCTGTAAAAATGTTGTCTTGATGTCCATGGAGCATGGAGTCCATTTCTGTTGTGCCATAATGGCCGGATAACAGCCCGTAAAGATTCTGTTGAACATGTTGGAGAATCTTTTGGCAGGTTTCTGTTCTCTATTTCTTCTCAATCCTCTGGCAACCGTGACGAGCTTTGGGGATAATTTTCTTGAACTTTCTTTCAGAGTGCATATCCACCTTGTTGTAATATATTTCTGTCCATCATCCTGAACTTCAACAAACACATTGTTCTCTTCCAATTCAGTAGTTCAGCCCTTTAGCTTCATCAAAGGATACATTGTCAACAACACAAACATTTTCTTCTTCTTCAACATTGTCAGCATCTTGGTGATGATCATTAGAAATATCCAGCTCCAAATCACCCAGCTTACTAATGTCAACAGGTATTCTTGCTCCAGAAACGCCATCTGGGCTCAAATACTCAATATTGTACCAGTCTTTGTTTCTACCTGTTGACTTGCCAGCTCGACTCAACACTTTGGCTATACACATATTTCCTGTCCTTTCATCACGAATTTCATCACATGTCCAATGTTTGGTCTCTGACATGGTTTGTCTTTTTTCCTCTTCATAATCATGATAGTCTTTATTTTCATCCTCGACTTCAGCGCTTCTGGTTCGGGAGAGTCTCTTCTTACTTATCAGTCTCCTGGTCAGTATTTTGCTTTGTCCTGTGAACATTTTCCAGCAGCACTTTCTGCAGGACTCGACTATGATGTACTCTGACATGTGAGCCTCCATGTCTAACAAAGACAACTGCTCCATCTTGACCAATGACGACACCTGGCCCTTTCCATTCCATCTGGTCAGGGTGCTATAATAAACTCTGTCTCCTGTGTCATATTTGGTCTCTCCACATGTGCGGATCTGTTTCCCAAGTGCTCTCATGATCCTCTCTGGAACATTCTGCCTCTGTAAAGGCCTTTCTTGCTGAATGCAGGGCTGATGTGAGATCCAACTACCTTGCTCATTGTCTTTCCTTCAAGTGCTGGGGTTTGTCGTGATAAGACTGATGGCAAATTGGGGTTCTGCCCAAAACTAACTGGCATGGGCTGTATCCATGAACATTCTGTAAAGAGTCTTGGCCATCAAAGCCCAAGCAATTGCAGTTTCCCAGTCACAATCATTCTCCGCTTCAATTTTCAGCAACATCTGTGTGAGTGTTTGGTTGTGTCGCTCCAATAGTCCATTACTCCACAGGGCTATAAGGCAGTAGTCTTCACAGTGATATTGAAATTTTCTGCCATGTCCCTCACTTCCTAATTATTAAACTCTCCTCCATTGTCACTGTACAATTTTTCGCGGTGGCCCATGAATTCCAATCCAGTATCGGAATGAAATTAGCAACAAATTCTGAAGATGCCTTCGATCTGGTTATACATCCCGCGCTTGAAGCGTGTAAATTCATCTATGATGTGGAGGTACCAGATGCCCTGTCCTAATTCATAGTCAACAGCCACTGTCTCATTATATTCTGTCGCCAGTGGAAACCCTATAACGGTTTATACAGGGTCTTTTATGCTGCATGCAAATGTCACACTTTCGGACATTTCTTCTAGTATAGTGAATGTCTCTACATCCTGACTTCCGGGGGCTCTTCAACAGCTGTTTTAGTCTATCACTGGACGATGTCCAAACTGATGATGAAGTTTTGTTAATGTCTTCTTCTTTTCTTCAGTTGTCATACAGCTCGGTGACCTTTAAGTACTTCATTTTTCTGTTGCACTCTCTTCACTGGGCTCTCTTTGTTCTCTTCTGTTTAGGATATTGACACAATAGTGTCCACTTGATTTAACGCTCTAAGACCACAGGCTGTCCAAACATGACTGCACTATCATTCATCAGATCGAGAATGGTTCCAGCTTTAAGAGATGACTTACTGAGAAGTAAGGGCAAGTCTACCTTAACTACTTCTGTCTCAATATTGCAGGTTGTTTTTCCAATTCTTGCTGGCAAAGAAACAGTCTGATACTTAATACACAATATTTCCATCGCCAAACTTGAATGCCTTATTGCTCGGTTTCTTCTTTACCAAATCCCTATCTTGGCGGTCAATTTCAGACATAACTTTCAAGCCACTTCTTTCCACAGACAGTTCTTGTGCATGCTGTATCAATAATTGCCTAATTCCCTGAGATTCTACCACAAAATTTCAAAATCTGTCTTGTACTGTTCTTTTGTAAACAATGTGATGTTACAATGTTCTACATTCTCAGGCACACTGTCAGGATGAATTTCTTCTGTAAGATCTAACTGATTCTTTCTTCTCTGGACAGTCTTTACCCAATGATATGTACTGATTGACAGACAGCACACCGGACCGCTTTTTCCAAACTTATTGATAGGGTTTGTACCTCTCGCTGGTGCATTATTCTGTGAGTTACTTGAGCTTGAACTGTTCCTGTCATAGGGTTTCTTGTCATAACCTCGATTCCTCTGTCCTGACTTATGTTGGGTCCAATATGCAGATTCTTGTTTAATTTGGATTGCTTCTGTTCCTATGTTCTGGTTCATACTGCCCCAAAGATTCTTTTCATGGCACTCTTCATAGAAGCAAACGACAAATCTCCACAAGCTGTCAGTGCTAATTGTCTTTCTTTTACTTCTAAATTTGCATTGTCCAATAGTTTGAATGCTAATACTAGCGCCTGATAGTGTCATATCAAACTTTCTTGACCTGTTGTACCTCTGTTCAATTCCAAAATATATTCAGTCATATTCACACTGTCTAATTTCTTGAAATTTTCAAAGTTCGAATAGGCTTCATATGCACTTTCTTTCTTTCTTTCAAGAATGCACCATCCAAGGAATTAAGAAGTTTATCCATTCCATTTTCATTATCTAAATCACCGGCTGGAATTTCTAGTGCTTTGTCTCTGCGCCTACCTGACAATGATAATGTTACCGCTAAGGCCTGCTTCCTCGGGTTTCAGTTCCATGGTAATTCTCCCGCCATATTGCTATCTCTGTCTTCCATTCGTCGTACGTTTGACTTTCAAACTTCGGTGGCATTTTGTAGAATGTAGCCATTTTCTGTTGTCTACACGCACACTATCGCTTTCTGTGTCCAACTTTTGGTTACGCTCTGCTACCAATGTTAAATGGTTTTATTGAGTTTTCACACACACAAGATACATCCATGCACGCCATGTGCTTTTACTCGACTGAGCATCGGGAACCGGAAAAACAGGTGGCGCTGACCCTGAGGCATCCGGTCATGCGCTGTTACATGCGAGGCATGTAAACTTCCGGTTGGGGATTTATTACGCTAGTTAACACCACAACTCCAATCAGATTGCTTCATCAATCAATTATGACAATCTCATCTACATACACCCCGTAGATTTCTGCCTACTTTGAAGCTATGTCTCTGGAATGTTCAATCAGCTTGTAACAAAAGTGACATCATCATGGACACCATTATGGATTGTGACATCGACATCATGGTCGTAACAGAAACATGGTTAAGAGCTCAGGGTGATGAGTCCAAACTTGCCAGTATGACGCCCCCTAGATACAAGTCAAGACACCAACCAAGACAGGCTGGCGTGGGCGGTTTAGCGGTTATCTACAGAGATAATCTTCATGTGAATTTCGCCATGTGGATCAGTTTAATTCCTTTGAGTCAATGCAGTTTCAGGTGACTCATGGCAAAACTGCCACTGACATTGTATCTCTCTATCCTCCACCCCCGTCAAAGAAAAACCAGTTGTCATTCTCAGTTTTCTATCAGGAGTTTTCTATTCTTTTGCATCAAATTTGTGTCGACAGAAAACAACCTATAATCATGGGTGATTTTAACATTCACTTTGATGTAGCAACCAAAAGTAATACATTACAGATGCTCAGCCTGCTAGAAGCTCACAACTGTCATCAAATCATAGGCTTGCCAACTCATAAATCAGGCCACATTTTGGACTGGGTTATAAAAGAGAGACTGACCCCATCATAACTGATTCCAGAGTAACCGACTATCAGATCTCAGATCACTACTTAGTAACCCTGAACATTGATATCACAAGACCATCGCATCCAGTCAGATATATTAGGTGTAGAAACATAAAAAACATGGATACTGCTACTTTTCGTTCAGTTCTATTGACGTCACCTTTGTTGACCGATCCTCCTTCAACCTGTGAAGCATATGTAGACATGTACAACACAGTACTTCTAGAGCTCCTGGACAAACATGCCCCAGAGAAGGTCAGGCGAATCCCCCACAGACCTGAAGCTACCTGGCTTTACAGTCCAGATGTCAAGAATTAGAAGAAAGCCAAGTCAGAGAGACGGGTAGCTGAGAGGAGATGGAGGAAGTCATGTCTGGAAGTACACCGTCAGATTTACTGTGCAGCCAGAAATAAGGTCAGCATTGTCATCAAACAAGCTAAACAGAATTTCATGAACTCTAAAATCAGTGACAGCAAATCTAACTCTAACGCCTTGTACAAGCTGATGTTTAACTTGATGGGAAGTCCCATGGATAATCCCTTACCTGATATTGGTACCACCAAAGACATTGCTCATTCATTTGCAATGTACTTTCAGGAAAAAAAAATCAAAATATTAGAAGCACACTCCATGACAGCGAAACACTGGCCGTCTTTAGGATGTGATGATACTTTTGATGACAAACCTGTTTTGAATGTTTTCCCCCCTTTCACAGTCCCAGAAACACTAAAACTTCTTAGGAAGTCTAAACCGACTTGCTGTGTACTCGACCTGATTCCAACTAACATTGTACTGAGTTGTATGGATATCCTCCTGCCCACTTTGACATCAATCATCAACTGCTGCCTGCAAGAAAGTACAATGCCCTTTTCTCTGACAAAATGCTATCGTGAAGCCACTCCTAAAAAAACCTGACCTCGACACAGAACATCTCAAGAACTACAGACCTGTTTCTAACCTTCCATTCCTCTCCAAGCTCATTGAAAGAGCTGTTGCAGAATGTCTGTCACAGGACTTGACCCAGCACAACTTGTATGATCCACTTCAATCAGCGTATAAGCCCTCGACATAGCACCGAGACAGCTCTCCTGAAAGTCGTCAATGACCTGAGATGTGCCATCGACTCGGGAATGTTGCTCTGCTCGTTCTCTTGGACTTGAGCTGCTTTCGACACCATCGACCACCAAAGACTGCTGCAGCGACTTCAGGGACGATTTTGGTGTCCAAGGATCTGCACTGAATTGGTTTAGCTCCTATCTGTCTCAGAGATCACAGTGTGTGTACATTGATGGACAGTTCTCAGATTCAGTACATCTAAACTGCGGTGTGCCTCAAGGTTCAGTATTGGGCCCGATATTATTCACTCTTTATATCAAGGAATTGGGTCAAGTCATCGACCAGCACAAGCTGCCAAGACACCTCTACGCTGATGATACGCAGCTCATGAAAATATTTCGACCAATAGCATCCATAGCAGAAGCAGCCTCTGCCGATGTTACCAACTGCTGTACACAGATAAAGAATGGATGAACATCAATAAACTCAAGCTTAATGGCGACAAGGCGGAGTGCATGCTAATAGGCCCATCTGCAAGATGTACCCAGTCAGGTCTCACCGTAGTTCAGATCGGAAGCTCAAGTATTGATGTCACTCGTTCTGTGAAGAACTTGGGTGTTGTTTTGGACTCAGAACTGTCCATGAAGCAACAAGTCAGCCACATCTCCCGAGTTTGCTCTTTCCAGCTGAGGAATATCAGCAACATCAGAAAGTACCTGACCAAAGAATCACTTATCATCCTGATTCTCACCCTGGTAACATCTAGGATTGATTACTGCAACAGCCTCCTTGCCGGTGCACCCAAGTCTGTTACCAACAAACTACAGCACATCCAGAATACAGCTGCTCGGATAGTCTCCAGCTGCAGGAAGTACGACCATATCACCCCCATCTTACATGACCTACACTGGCTGCCCATCCGACAGAGAATCAGCTATAAGATCTTGTGTCATGTGTATCGATGCCTGTCTGAAGATGCTCCACAATATCTGTGTGATTTGATCACAGAGTACAAACCAGCTCGATCACTGCGGTCAGAAAACAAGCTACTGTTGCAAGTTCCATCTGTCAAATCTGTGAACTATGGACAATGTTCCTGTGCTTTCAGTGCAGCAAAGGAATGGAACGATCTCCCAATCAATCTCAGACAGTCTTCATCTCTTGCCTCCTTCCAGTCTGAGCTAAAGACTTACTTATTTAATAAGTCTAGAATGACTCTTAATACCCACATATATGTGCGCTTACATGCATTGAGCATGGATTAATGCACTATATAAATTCACTATTATTATTACTATTATTATTATTATTATCTCGGCCCCGAGTCTAGTCTCGCATCTCGCGTACAGCTTATCGATTTCTTCGGCTGACATTTTGTGAATTTTATCAGGAGTGTAGTCCCCAAAGTATTGTTTGGCTTTGCCACCAACAGCCAACGCTACCAGTCTCTCAGTCTTGTCATCGTCCCCTCGCTTATCCCCCTCCAACAGTTGTTCTAGCAGTTCATCACACTCCATCTTATAATGTAATAAGTAAGTTTTAGTTTTAATAATATAATACCTGATGCAGGCGAAACATAGTGAAATGAAGGTTAAGTTGCACACGACTAGCACTTCAAAAACAACCATCACCCTATAGAACTGTAACAATTAATTGCTAAGCATTTGCTAAGAGTTGCTAAGCATTGCTAAGCATTGCTAAGCTAAAACACCCTATAGGCCACGGGTTGAACGGTCTTGAGCACGAGCTTAGCATGTTTAGTTTCTCCCATTGTCTATATTAAGTTGTGCGTCCATAATAACGTACAGATATAATTTCAACTTGCCCGCGGGTTGAGCCTTCTTGGTAATCTGGATTGTTATCGCTGCCGTTGTCGATGCGGCGACCGCTGCCGTGCAATTTATCGTCATCCGTGGATCGCATGTCCAACCACAGCGCGTACTTGGTGGTCAGGTATTCACCGATCTGCACGGCGGATAGGTCCAGGTCCTTGATGACGTGTTGGTGCCGGGTCGGTAGTTTCATTATCTCGTCCCACTGCTGGTGTGCCCTCATACCGGCGCTGAACAGCTGGTTGGGCACGCCCTCGATGGTCACTTTTCCAATCTCGGGGGTTTTCAATTCTCGCTGTCCTTCGAACGGCTCGTAATCCTCCACACGGGGCGTTCAGGGTGCGTTTCATCGATCACGCCGGCACGTTTAGGTTGATATTCCACAGCGTGTCACTCTTATCCCGCACGACCGCTCTATGCCTCAGTACCCTATCGTACAGGATGGCCACCTTCCCCGAGTACTGGTTTCGAACCTGCCTTGCCAGCTCCGAGACCATGTCGAACTCCAGAGAGATGTTGTCTATGGTGATTAGCCTCATCACCGTTCGGCGTACGTACGACTTTGCTGTAGTCGTTAAACGTGAGCTCGTATTCAAGCCTATCACCCAGCGGCCTGGTAAAGCGGCGTGTGTCCCGTGAGCAACTTCGAAGTCGGCGGCACGCAGAACCTGTTCCCGTGACGCAGGCGAGGCGGCCTTTTCACCGTCCGAGATCTTGTCTAGCTGGTCTGGCGTGAAGCCGTACCCACAGCGCGAACCGAGGTTCGATTTGCTGATACCTTGGTACACGTCATTGGCGCCGTTCTCCTAAGCTTTTCCAGAGGTCCCGTAGCAGTGAAACACGCCGCTGTCGTCGATGCTCAACACCTCGTTACCACTGATCTTGATGGTGGTTTTTTGATGATGGCTCGACCTAGGTTCGCGCTAGCTTCAGCGTTTAATCGTTGTCGGAGGTCAACGTGAGGTTGAACGTCAGTCGAACCGTGCCTGGTACGATAAGGTCATTCTCACCCAGGTTTGGGAATCTAACCAGCAGCGTTTGGTTCTGGTCTATCTTGCTGGGATTGTTGGTGATGGTCACCGACTGGCGCACGGCTCTGACGCCTAGAGGCTCTCTTGATCTTCGGAAAGGATCTAGTTTCCTGCCATACATTGTTATATAGATAAAATATAAAAGTTTAATCTAAATAATGGCTGAAGGCGGCCATGAGGACATCCCGATGGATGATATGGGTGCTGGGGATTACGATGAAGACACTTTATTTACCAGCAACGTCTTGAGCGACGAACTCGGCAAACAAACCGTCAACGATTATTACAATGGTTTAAAACGCGATAGATATTACGTCGACCCGGCGAGACTATTCCAAGTTTGTTATCGATAACAAGGGCACGCTGCCATTGAAAGCTCTCCCGGAGGTCGATCTCATGAATAAGAGCACTAGAAACCCACTCGCTCTGTCTAAGCTTGTCACTCGTTATGGGAGGCAACTGATCCGAGATGAACTAGGCTTCCTAGATTATGGTGGCGCACGGCCTAAGCTTCCCCCGAAGGTCGTCCAAGATCTGCAAGCAGCCAGGGCCGAACTCAGCGGTGAAGGTGATATGCCCCAACGTGCTAAAGAAACATCAGACAGTATCGAAAAAATATTGGCCATGTACCATGACAAACCCTTGCCTGGTTTCGAATTTCCTGTTCGAAAAATGCGAGGTCTAGACGCGGAGAACTCGTGAACAACATGGGGAAACTGAACGAAGTCAATGAGCACATCGCTCTCGAGAAAATAAAACTCACCGAAACGGAGGACGATGATATGAAACGTCGTAATGAGGAGAGAATAAAAAACTTGGAAGACAAGAGACGGACTCGGTTGGAATCCACTTCCTCGAACCGGGAAGCCCTCCGATCCCAGATCAGTCGTGAACGGGAAACCATCGATCGGGTCCTAAATGAGGACACCACGCTAGCTGACAGGATCCGAATCCTCTTCCGAGAGCAAGGGATCACCATCGCCAGCATTCTGACTGCATTGGGCTTCATCATATCAACCCTGGTTGTGTCACTGAATGTGGGTACCCCAACATCAGGTGGTACACCCACTGGTGGCGTCAGAGACTGGATAAAAAAACACCTGAAATCACTCGGTGAAGCTCTAGCTAAACTCGCTGGTAAGGCCGCCGAAGCCCTGCCCGGCTTCCTGGGTATCATCATCTCGTGGCTGCTTAGCATGCTGGCTAAAACTGTCACGTGGCTCGGTCAAAACCTGTGGGCAGCCATCGTCGCCGTGGTAGGGCTGGTGTACGTAGCGGCTAAGGAATTTTTAACCAAATAAGCCCCACCCCGACCGCTACCCCGCCAACCACCAGGGCCGTTTTACGGTCGATGTGCTGCTGATTGGACGCCTGCACGTGTGGGTGTTGGGGTTGTGGGGGTGTTGGTTGAGCCCTGGGCTCCGGGGGTGGTACGACTATGCCCGTTTCACCTGTGGGAGGTGGGACGTGACTCACGTTGATGCCTACATTGACACCAAACTTCTGGTCGGCCGTGGCTATGACTATTTCATTGTTGTAACCCACCACTTTTTTTACTCTCAATTGCATATCGCTCGGAGCCATGTACAATCCCACGTCGAAGAGGTAGTCGACTTTCGACCGGGCGTATTCCAACACGGATAGCGTCGGATAGCACTCGGTAGATCAACTGGAGCATTGATAGCATCCTCGACGTTGGACACGAACTGTTTCTGCGCATCGTAAGCAGTCCCCTTACTGATAATACTGGAACAGCGCCCACACGTACGTTCGAATCGAGTCGTTCAAGCGTTGGTGCCGTACGCGAAAGTAAACCCTCTACGGCGTGTCCAGCATGAACATTTTCCAATCGTCCACGGGCCCCTGCTCGAACCTCCAGACTCGGTAATCCTTGCTGGTGTCGAAAGCCATGTAACGGTCATCCCACTCGTTTGTTGTGATATGATACGACTTGTAACCCCAATCTTTCACCAGCTGTTTGCTGACTTTCCGCGATGTGCTTATTGTGTGGCGATGGGGATACCCAACCCATGGTTCGAGCCCGGCAAACGCCAATCCGCCTTTTTCGGCCTAGTTCGAATTCATTGCAAACGCTGTTAGAGTAGGCCTGTCTATCGTACTGGTTGTTTACTGCGTCCCATGCTTTGTCCTGTGGGATCGGAGCTGATCTCTTTGAGGATACGCCTGACCTGGTAGTACACGTGGTACGTGAACACAGACTGACTCAGCGGCCCCCGCCGAGTGTCAGTTAATGTCAAGCCACACCCCGTTGTAGCGCACCACACGGCGAAGTTGAGTTGATTCTGCCAGAACTGCATCGGGTTGTTGAACCAAGCGTGGACTACCTTAGCGTTAGTCACCGAAAACCTATACCTAGCAAATACATCTATAAACTGGGCGCCGAAATACAACCCAGCAGCGTCGACCACAATCTTCATGTGTGGGAAATCTATGTCCAGTTTAGGGTAAAACACTCCCAGGGAGTAAAACACTCCTGGGGAGGATTCTCCTCCTTGTTTGTCCATTTTTAAAGTATTATATAATGGGTATATATACTCTAACATGTACGTAACACTTCCAGGAATAACGAGCGGTGAGTCCGTTCAGCTGATGCACGCGATCGATAACACGTCGGGTCAACTCGAAGTGGCACTCTGCGTTATCACCTACCTACCGCGATGGACTAACATCAACGTCAACAACTACAAGCTGTTCGTCAGTGGCGCCCGCAACTAGATAACTGACGGCTACTACAGCGTGTGCTCGCTAAGCTAGCGACAAGGTCTTCAAACCCTTGGGAGCCGAACTCAAGATGAGCGACTCAAAACGGCACAGTGGTGTTAATCAACAACGGGATAAACCCCTTGAGGCTCGGTCGACCATTGGCGAGGACACTCGGGATGTCGCCAGACGAGATAAAACCAACAACTACCGTCACAGGCACGAAGTTACCCGACCTAGTACTGTACCGAGAGCTGTGCATTCATCTCGGCCAGTTGAGCACAACGGACAACATTCAAGGTGGCCACCCTTCCACGATACTGAGAGCGTGTACCGGTGAAAACGGAGAAATACAACGGACGGTAGAACCGAAGTCGTTTTCACCGCTGCGGTATAAGAGGTTAACTTCGAGGGCAACATCCCTGAGCTGATAATATCGGTGTTAGATATAAATCATAATCCTGTGAATATAGGATACCTCAGCATAACGCTGCACATAAAATGACTAGCGCACAAGGCCCCGGAATGAGGTTGAAAAATGCATCAATGTGGGGATCTCCGACCTCGGGGACACACGCAGATTCTGACGACCCGGAGTAGATGGTAAATTGTATGCCTTGCAACTGAAAACAACATTTACAAACGCGTTGAAGTCCTCGGTAGAACACTAGGTGATATAGTAGATACCTCAGGAGCAACCGTCAACTTTCGGTACACCCTAGTCCGCACCGGTGATGATAAATGGATGGTAACCCATCGTTCGAGGCAAACTGTTCGACATAGAAGATGTTGAAGAGCGACCGTTGCGTCCGAAACAAGCCACATACGCTCGTCTTCACCGACGATGACAAGTGGGTGTTGTTACCCACTAAAGGCAACTGGTTTCTCAATATTAGGCCGGCTCCCCCTACGTGTTCACGGAGAACAAAGACAACTACCTAAACAAAGTCGTGAACAACGGAACCCTGCTCGTGGCTTACGTCCCGGCGCAGAGACGTAGCATAGTCATCAGCCCAGTCGCCAGTATGGCAGCCCACATGCTATCTAGCAAGCCCGGGATGCAAAACGTGACATTGCAGTTGGTGTCTGAATTCGAAGGCGTGGTCAACATCTTGGCGAGCCTACCGGCGAACTCCACGTTGGTCATCAAAGTTTACCTAGGGGAACCATCGCCGGATGAAGTCGAAGTCGTGAAGGGGTCAAACTCCGGTGGGTGAAACGGAACCAGTATCAGGTTTGCACTGTTTACTTGCGGGTGGGTGTCGACTCCCACACCAGTCTGCAGGGGGTCACCGTGACCGTGGAAGACACGATATCACTCACCAAGATCTTCCTACCCGACAACATACACTTCATGGGGGTAAAGTGCACCCCTGAGAAATTATCAGAAAAACAATTGGAAACTATCTCGTAATAGTAATATAGCAATGACCAGTCATCACCCCAACGTTACACTCAGGGATCTAGGGGACACGGATCGGATTCGATCTGCCCGGTGAGGAAGACACCGTGCATATCCTGCACTTTGGCGGACCCGCGTGTATAGGCCGATGGCTCTGGCAAGCTTAAAGGAACCTGAATGGTGGCTCAATATGACCCTCGCCCGCCTTATATCTCATAAATTGAAAATAATCGTATCTCTGAAATTAGGAATAACGGTGCCTTGCTCGGGGGTTTCATTCCGGGGCCTAATACAATGATTACAATAAGACCGATTTTTCACTCGCCCAATATGTTACAGGCATAGGGGGTGAGTTAAGGTTTAACCGCTACGGGCTCCAATTGGGGGTTCCGGCTGTGGTACCAGGCTCCACACTCATCATAGAAGTCTATCTCCTGAGACATTCTGTTAGTAAAGAACAACAACTTTTACCGGGGTGACAGTACACTGGAGTCTCCGCTAATAGCCAACGCTACCGTGATCATCATAACGATCGGCCCCTCAACGGGTTCTATAGCCCCCTCAATAAGGCCCTCCTATGGGGCTCGTGTGGACGCAGAGTTACCTATTAACCTCTCACCTATTTACCTGCATAAGGGTCTACACCTTATAAGCCTCAAGTACATTGATCGACTATTCACTGAAGCCCAATTAGAAAAGATAAGATATATTATATGCACACAGAATGGGTCTGTACCCAGTCGTAGAGGAAGTTGCGAAGACCCTGGAAACCGTAGACGGGTTCCGCTTGAGACAGTTATGTGATGTAAAACACCAACTAGAACAAGACCGCGACGCACGGAAGGCACTATATAAAAAGTACCATAGAGCTTTCAATATCGTGGACGGGACTGATACTGCCCTTATGGCAACCAGCGTGGGACTAGGGGAGGCAGGTGTTGGGTTGTTAGCCACCATCGTGGCCGCACCTATAGTGCTAGGCATTGAAATAACAGCTTGGGTGGTAGGGGTGGCAGGGTTGGTGTTTAAGTTTGTATCCCGCAGACTGCATCGTAAAGCGTTGAAACACGACGAGATCAGGGTTCTGGCTGAAGCAAAGCTGAACACAGTAAGTGAGCGTATTTCAACAGCACTCACTGACAGTAAGATCTCGGAGGAGGAATTTCGCTCAATCCTCCCTGAACTTGACAATTACCGTAAGATGAAACAAGAAATCCGGTCCAAGTCTCGTAAGTCTGCTATCAGCGAAGACGAGAAAAAAAAGTACATAGAACAGGGGCTACGAAAAGCCCAGCAAGCCTTTATTACGAACACCAAAGAGATCATAGGCGATTCACATTAAACTGTTTCATCGAGGTCAACGCGACATAGTGTCAAGTGCTAGTTCACGGTCATAGAGACACTATTGTGCCACGTGGGGTCGGGAAGTTAACTGGGGGTTCAAAAGTAGTATATACAATGGTGGCGAGATCTAAGGACCTAACAAAAGCTTTATTTGTGAAATAAAGCTTTACAGAGGCTTTTGTTGGACTTGATCTCGGACTATCATTATATCTACTACTGTTGGACACATGTGGTGTGGATACTGATTGGCGAAGACTGTGTCCGACGTCTAGAAACACTCATGCATTATCAATGCCACTGTACAGTTACTGTGAAGTGCCATAGTCCAAACCAGCCACATTATACGCATGAATAATGGTAGTCCGTATCCACAAAACACCTGTGGTTTTGCTTACATGTCTCCGACGGCTTGGGTGCGTTTAATGTACAAATTGTGTACATCAGCTGAACACAAGAGTAACACAGGAACGTCGTCAACGCCTACAACAGACGATAAAGGCGAAAGAGAGAACTATCGATCATTTCGCGCTGGCAACTGGGTTATAGTGATGAAATCCCAATCAAATACCCAGAGGCACAGAACCATGACGGTGTCGTTCAAACTTGACCCAATTAACACCAAGCGCATGACCCTTGTCGCTATCGCTGTGCAATTCTGCAAGGGAAGTGTTCGTGAGTGGCTTGCAAGACACAATGCGTAGGCAGTCCAAGACCGTGTTGAGATTCCTGGCGAGTGGTCAAAACTGCAGCCTGGGTACTCAAGCGCTAAACAAGCGAAGCATGGACGGTAGCTCCTGTCATTGGGGACTGCCAAAACGAAGGGAATTGCCACTAACAGAAGTGGCAACCATGCCCCTCTTGAAACGCCTTCCCTGTAAAAATACAGCAGGGAGACTGCTCAAACAGGAGGGATACATTCAGCGGGTCCTGCTTCACAGCAACACAACTGCTCGAACGACTGCCCCTTGTTATACATGTGCCTAATGGAAGTCCAATGTTCATTAGCAAAGCAGTAACAATGCTCTGGCTGAAAAGCAATTGGCGCAGAATGCCGCCTGAAGATGCAGTGTGTTAATTGAATCGTTTGGCGTGGGATGAGGATGCACTAGGATGTTTCCACATCTGGCTAGTTGAAGAGGAGCTCTTGACGCTTGAAAACAACCTCTGGTTGGTCATCTGGGACCAACTAAATTTCGTCGAAGTCAAGTTGTTAATTCTTGATTGTGACTAAAACATTTGGAAGCAAGACCGGAGGAAACGTATTTTGCGTGTAGCGCCCCCAGGAAAGACTTAAGCCATCCACTGCCCATTCGGAGACGGAGACACATAAACCGGTATCTCTTTGTGTAGCATTCATTCTGTGAAAGCGACTCTGTCAGATCCCAATATAGCGTCCTCTAAGATGTACCCGCACCCAGGAATATGCTGAGTGCTCAAACGGATATGGGTGTCACCTATTATTGGAAACAGACGGAACGTCTGGAAACAGTAACCCGGTCATACTCTCGTTAAACCCCACAACAATCGTGTTGCCCGTTAGCTATTGCGCGCCCAGTGACGGATGGTGAGGAACACTGCCTTGAGCTCCAAACTGCTTATTGATCTCACGGCCGAAAACCTGAGGTTATCAGATCTAGTAAGTGCATGGGCGCCTCAATTCTGCATGGAGGCACCAATGCATGGAGGCGCCGACTAAAACGTATGTAGTTCGGAACTTGCTCAGTCAAGGTGACTCCACCTATGACATCTAAGGGCAAGTCCACTAAAAGGAAAAAAAAAACTGAGGTAAATGAGGCAGGAGGCCGACACGTTGACGAACATCCGCCTGTCATTCCCGGGTGGACATATGCAAATTACCCAATATGGCGGAGAGCCCACGTGAAATCACCAAATTATGCACTAAGCAGGTTGCGGTCGCTTGGACTGACTGACTGAGTTTGGTTTTACGCCGCTTTTAGGTATTCCAGCAACGGTCAGAAGGTAAACCTTGGAACCCGCACATCGTAGAGGCAGAACTATGAAGAGCGGAACCCATGTGTCCATATATTGTGACGATGGACACCCAAGAAATAACCAATTACGTCAGAATGTACTCGTCACCAATGTACAAGTGTTTGGATAATACAAGGGCCTAGTGGATGAGGGAGTGCCCAGTCCTGTGGATCTTGAACTTTTTTTTCTTTTTTTTTGCCCCTGCTTCCGTCACCCTTGAAGGGGACGCAGCTACGTTCATATCCTCTCTTGTTGATGTGAGACTTGTCACCACGTCTCCTACCACGCACAGGCGCCTGATTCCAAGTCCACCTAACAGTGTGGCGTTGAGGCTATAGTAGGTACTGGATTCATGTGATGAGGGATGTTTGACTTGCTGGAAGGCCGTCAACACTATCTCCCTGTGAGTAAAGTCACACACTGTTCAATAATCGCCCTTGAACTCGTTATTAAAGATGGCAGTCGAGGACTAGGATTGGTGAAATAGATTCCTCGGAAGCTTTGCATCCTAACCGGAAAATCCTTGACCTCAAATAACACCTGCGTTGGCGAGAACTGCCTGTAAGTGTTCGCCAAGGACAGTGAGGACCATCCACTACCAAGCCAACATGCATATAGAAGAGAGGTGACGATCCTGTACGGATTCATCTCTGTCAGGTCTTGAGAGACAGTGTTAATAGCCGAAGCTAAGTTGAGATAGGAAGGAGCATCCGTGTGGATTCCAAATCAAGGGCTGTCATCCCTTGAGTCTCGTGCCTTGTAAGAAGAAACACTGTCACACTGTCACGCGCTTAATTTCCTCATCCACTTGGGCTGCCCTATTGATGAATTCAAGACAAGGGAGTGCGTAAACGCCACACCCGGTATAGGTACCATATTAGTTGAAGTCTTCGAGGGCAAGATGTGTCCGTCTGCCGACATAGAGGTCAGTGGAGACAGTGGCGCAACCAACAGCTGCCGAACTCTTGAAGATGTGGAGGCGCCGACGCGGTATGTTACTTCATAGGCTCAATCTGGTATAGGCGCTGGAATGAGTGAGTGAGTGAGTGAGCATGATTTTATAGGCCACTTACTATGATGTTATAGGCGCTAGATCCAGAAGAGCCGCCGTACAGGCGCTGGATCTGTTAGAACGCTGTATCTGGTAGAAAAACAGGCATTTGAGTGAGTGAGGATGGTTTGATAGGCGCCGTACAGGCGCTGGATCTAGTAGAAATGCCGGACAGACGCTGGAGTGAGTGAGTGAGTATGGAGTTGTAGGCGCCATACAAGCGCTGGATCTGGTAGAAACGCCGGACAGGCGCTGGAGTGAGTGAGTGAGTATGGTGTTATAAGTGCCATACAAGCGCTGAATCTGGTAGAAACGCCGCACAGGCGCTGTAGGGAGTATGGTTTATAGGCATCATACAAGCGCTGGATCTGGTAGAAACGCCATACAGGCGCTAGAGGGAGTAAGTATGGGTTTACAAGCTCCGTACAGGCGCTGGATCAGGTAGATGCATCATACATTCCCTGTAAATAGGAACGACACTGGAACAAGTTGGTGTTGCGACGGAGGCGCTAACACCGACTGCAGAACGCCGAGGTCGTAGTTGATATGGTAGAAGCGCCTTAAAGGCACTGCAGTGATGAACAGCAGAGGCGCTGTTGTACCAGACTGCCCTGCTAACTAGGTCAAGTCAAATGTGAGTCGAAACATCCAGTGACTGCTGAGCGCGCAGCGCATGCATCTCAGGCATCAGGAGTAAGACGTCTGCCAAGGACAAGCTGGAAACAGCAGCCTGGAGAAAGGAGACGGAGCGCCAGACGCCCTAGAGCTAGAGGACATCAGTGTTGTGGCAAGCATCTGGATGCTTGTCACAGGCGACGTCGGTGTTGGACCTGCCGCTTCAAAAAAAAGGTGTTATATTAATTAAGTAAGCGCAACTAGCACATTACTTGTGTGAAAAACGGGGAAAAACACGGAAAAGTGCAATTCACACCGAGGTGAATGAGGGCAGTTATGAGATACCCTGCCTTACAAACTATACAGCGTGTGCCATATAGAAACTGCAACATAGCAGAAAACCCCAGCAAACACACGGTGAGAAACATTACAATAGTAATGGGGAACACACGGTGAAACAATATAATAGTAACGGGGTAGAACAGCATAAATGAGAACAACGTCTCACAAAATACTGACATAAACTGGGGACCAGAATTAAGGCTTAATCATAATATACGATGATAGTATAACATATAAGCATGAGCCAAGAACAAGCCACTACGAATACATCAAAGCCACGTGTTCTGAATGGCAAAGTGACCGATAATAGTGATGAAACTACTGTGTTTATCACAAACACCATCACTACAACAGTACTACAAAAATGAAACAGAAAGGTAATACCTACACTCTCTGAAGAACAAAGGAAAGTACCCAAAAGACAAATTCATAGGATACAAAACAGTCGAGCTGGCAAACCACACGTCTTGCAAGGCGTGCGAAAAGCAATAATCTGAGGTGGCTGACGTCACCTTCCGGTGATGCGTGCGCAGACAGATGTTTACCTGAGACCAGGAAGTGATCGCAGTCTACGCTTTTCAACATCAATCGTCTGGCACAGCCACGTTTTGAGTCGTAAGCAATAAGTGCAGGAAGTAAGTAGTGCAGGATTAGTTAAAAATTTATCATTAATTGCTCAGCTTTAGACATAAACTTCATGTCAAATACTGACAAACTGTATGTCAATAAATAAGATGTTGAATAATCCAAAGCACTTTCAGTACAAAGTCAAAATATAATGGTCAACATAAACTGACAAGCTGTATGTCAGTAAATAAGATGTTGAATAATCTAAAGCACTTTCAGTACAAAATCAAAATATAATGGTCAGCATAAAATGGCAAACTTGGGGGTCAGATGTATTCAATGTCCAAACTGAAAAATATTGACCCTTCCTATGTCCATGAACAATTTTTTATGATAGTCACCAAATATGAGTATCACTTTTTTTATCACCCTCCCCTAGAGAATATATTTTGGTGACCCTGCCCTAATTTCTTTCTTACGCCTCGAACCCACCCCAAAAATACCTGATCAGTCCCTTACTGTTATAGCACAATAGCAACAATAGGTAAATTCTTTTATTAATTATGTTGTAATAACAACTTACACAAGTGACAACTGACACTGTAAAGTTTCTGTCACAATGACAGATTTGAAAGGAAATGAAAAAACAACAAATCACTAACCCAAGAATTTCAAATAATCCAATAAATCAGATAAAACCTTAAAAGACAATTTAAAAAATGTACTCACCGGATCATCAAAAGCTTTGCATATATTTTGTGCGATTCTGGATCCACTTACATGTTCTGAAAGTGGTTCAAAATCAAGAACATTACAAAGAGTAAAAAGTGAAAAATGCCCTAAGAAATATTTAGCTCACCTGATGTGCACATGAACACGATTTGAATGTTTTTTGGATACAAACATAATCAATAAGTAACTGGTGTAAAAGATTTGTAGAAAAGTCTAATGCTTCCAATATCATTTACCACAATGAGGAGTGCTAAGAGTATCCCCTTGTACATTGTAGATCATAACAATGACGGATATTTTAACTTCTTGTCAAATTTGATTTTCTAAACATATATTTGAAATGTAAAATGAATAAGATGAAAAGTCTTCATGACTAGGAACCTCTATAATAAATTTCAGCTTCATCCGTCACCCAGTATAGACGAGGAGATATTTACACCACTTAACAAAGGTCTTTCAACTGAAATAGTCACTGTGAGGCTTAGTGGGGGTCACAGTGTCACAAGAGAGGCTTAAGTGTTGTAGGCACGTAGACCGTGAATCAAGAACCAAAGCAATGGCTTTGAACAGCTAAGAGGTAACTGACATACAAGTGAACTTGAACTTATTTCACTATTTTCTCCTATATCAAGAGGCCTCTTCTTATTTTATTATTTTCAAATATTTTTATTCAGTTCAAGAGTATACATATATTTACATAGTCTTTATTTACACTACATTGTTTCAATCTAGATACATTTAAATGTCAAATATCTAAATGTACAATACATTTTCACATGTTTATACCAAAAGATATACTGAGACTGGAACTATTGAAGCATACCCACCAGTGGTCTCCATTTGTGCTCAAATTTATGTTCTTCATTGTTCTTTGTTACAATATATCTTTTTGTTTTTATTTTCTCTTTGAGAGATTTCTTGAATTTCCAAAATACAGGAATGTTATTTTTTATGTTCATATTATGTACGTATTTCTTGGCTTGGAGAATGATATGATTTATAAGATAATCTGAGTATTGGGAACCAAAAAGATTGTGGACTTAGTTAAGACAAAAACCTGGTATTTTGTCTTTCAAAAAAGCTGACAATAATAATACACATGTTCTATATCTTCTCTTTCTTCCGTACAGAACGAACAAACATCATCATCAACAATTTCCATATATAGCAACTCACGTTTGGTGTAAATTTTCTTGTGAATAAATTTGTATTGAAAAGCTATCAATTTAACATAATTAGTATATTTTCTAAATTTAGTGAATATAGATTTCCAGTTCATATCTTCTGGAAATTGGCTTTTCTATTTTTTACAGATCTGAGGTAGATTGTGTTTCTTTATCAAAGTATCATAAAGGTATCTACAACCGTTAGAATATTTTAACATATTTCTTAAGGGTTCTGGAATATTGATATTTTCTCCGATGAAATCTCCATTAAATATAGATTTTCTCCATTGGAGAGGAATATTTAATAACATTTTATTGTAGTGTAGTACTTTGTCATTAAAGTCATATTTGTTTTTTAATTGCGCGAAAGACAATATACTTTTGGAATCACATATATCTCTAATAGTACAAAGTCCTTTTGAAAACCATGACTTAATAATGAAGTTTGGATGAGTACTCATCCAGGCCTCTCCTTATATTGCTAGAACCATAAGGAAGAGAGTTTTCATGGATGTCAACTTCTTTATTATGAGGAACACAATGTTTTGGTGCATATCCTTACTCCTGGTGAAGGCGTAAGACATTCAAAGACTTGCTATAACCATTTGGTTGGTTTCCATGTCAATCAAACTAATAGTTTCCACTGTGTATGATTTAAAGGATCTACTTCTATTAAGTCACAGCCAACATTTCTGCAAATTGGTTAAAACAGGAAAAAAACAACAAATTTTTCACAAATTACAAATCACAAAGCAGGAGTGATTATTTTTAGTTTCGTATCATATTTTAGTTTCTTATCACTGGGCTGTGCTTATAACTATTGATTTTCAAGACATCCTCTTCACTGTCAGCTTTCTGAATGAGTTTTTAGAAATATCACACACTGTGTCAAATGCTTCTTTGCATTTTTGTTGTTTAACGCCAGGTGGAGTGTCTATTCTGCAGATAGTTTCTTGTCCGGACAGGATTATCCCTGAAATGTGTCTTCCCGCCATGTTGCTCTTGAGACTGTCTGTTAGATGGTAAAGCTCTCTCGTGAGGCCCATAGGGTCCTGACAGTGAGTTCACCCTAGCCTGTTGAAATAAGCTACGGTAACCAGTGTAGAGGAATTTCTAAGGAGACCATTGATAGATAGCTAACATAATGACCTTCAGCTCCAAAATGTTTATGTGTACTGGACAATCCAATACCAGAGTGCTGACGTGGTCTTGTCGTCCTGATGAGCACTCCAACCCCCGTGAGCGAGGGATCTGTGAAGGTGTGTCTTGATTGGCATTCCATGGATGACATCTGGGAATGCTCCACGATCTGACATCCCTGAACACTAGATCCATGGGTGTTATGACAGAGTCTAGTTGAGTCCCTCAAGTGATGGTTGATCCAATCTTGCCTATACCTGAGATGCAGGCAGCCTCTGGATGTTAGATTATGCATAGAGATAAGTGCTCTCAAGAGATTCTTCAGGTCTATGATTACCCAGAGCTCTGATGAATCCTTCTTGGGAACCAAGAATACCAGAGAGTAGAACCCTGGTCCTGGGATCCGAGAAGTGAAACTTGTTGACCAAGAGCTTGTCTATGGCTGCCAGCTTGAAAGCCTGGGGTCCTGAAGTTAATTAACAATGTCCTACAGGCCATATCATCAAGGGGGCCTCTTTGTGATATCCACCCCTGATATCTCTGAGAATCCACTGGTCAGTCATGAGGATCGTCAAATTGTCTGCAAACACTGACAGACATTTGCCCACTGGAATACCGACCTTCGAATGTAAGATGTTCTGCACCTGGTACTTTAACAACAAATCCCTGAAAAAAGGCATGACAACATGACAGATAAGTCCTTGTTGTCAGTTGTGTCTTTTCCTTGAAAGAAATTCTGGTGATTGGGGACCTCAATAGAGAATAATCTTGAGTTGAAATCCGTAATGGTCTTTGACTGAAATGAGAACCTTCCGAAACATCCTCTTCATCCTGATATTACAAAAGGGTGCATCAGGCCACTGAATCTCAAGTGCAAGATCTTCTTGGAGTAATTGGGGCATAGAGTCAGGGAAGAAAACTGCCACTGCTGCAAGCTTGTAGGCAAAAGCATAATACACCAAGTTGTGGTCTGCTGAGTCTGTTCTAAGGTCAAATCTAAACAGCTTGGAATCCTATAGATTTTCTGTTATTTGGTCTGAAGAGGAATCCATAGATCCAAGACTGTTACCTCTGCCCTCTCTGTTAGGGCTAAGTGTGTCCAGAACCATACAGCCCATGAGTTCTCTGCTGCCCACACAAACTGGGACATTATCACTTGTTGGAACAATTATGTTTCATGTTTAATGGTTCTGTGGTTTCTGAGGAGATGTTTACTGTGGTATCTGAGATGTTTACAGTTTTGAGAAGTTTCTCAATTTTTCTGGTGGACATGTTTACATTTCGATGCCTTTAACAAATGTACGTGCAATATTACAGCTGGATTCAACGTTATGTTTGACACATCAAAGTTCACAACAATGATGTTTGACTGTATATGCTAGGCTCCACCATTAAAGCAAAACTAACTGCCCACTGATTTTTAAAAAACATGTCCTAGAAATTATCAGTAATTAAGTTCCATTATTAAATAACTGGTGAACTATCAGAAGATCCACTTTTCAAACATATTTTAGACAAACAAGAACTAGTGTAGTGGTCTTACTGGTATACAAGCTCAAAAGACTACTTCCAGTACAAAGAGTAATACCAGTGTTCTACAAATGAGTTTTCCAAACGTTACGCATAATTGCATGAATTTGCAAACATGTAATTTTCTGAGTAAAATTGATATTTTATACTTATCCTGACTCATGTATTATTGCTTGTCTCCTTCCTTCCGCGAACGTTAGTGGAACACTTGTATCTCCTTTTTGAAGCTCACTTAAAAAAAGCAGACGTAAAATCACTACTCACCACGAGTTGTCCCCCTCTCCGTTTTGGCGGGAAAACGGCGCCACCCGTCTTCCCACTCTTCACTCTCTCCGAATTGCAAGCCCGACACTTAGATTTGCTGGGAAATCCAAAGTGCCTAGCGGGGAGGTTGGGAGGTATTACCTCATGAGTCAGGATAAGTATAAAATATCAATTTTACTCAGAAAATTACATATTTTTCCTTATCCTGACTCATGTATTATTGCTTGTAGAATCCTACGGATTTGGTGGTGGGTCAAGCCACTTCTGGATTCCAATTTGGTGATTTACGTCTTGCATACCCCCCCTATGGGAACTTCCTGGTAGCATTTCAATTTACTGCTAGGATCTGCTGCTGCTGTAACCCTTTACTTCCAGCTTTCTCTGATGGGGGGACCACAATTGTCAACTTTTGGTCCTTGCTTCTGTTAACATTATATGTGGATTTTAACAACTCCATCTCTTGATGCATGCATCAAGTGGAGAAGCGACCCTTCTTATGTACGAGTACGTCCTTACAAGTACTGGGTCTTATCACTCATGCTAGTCTGTCTTAGACGTGCATATGGACTCTAAAGCTGTAACTCTCCTGAGTGTTGGCTTTTGCAAGTCATGTGATAAAAGGGCGACATTCTGTCTCAGCGCCTCTGTCGAACTGTCAGTTGTTGTGCTACAACAAGGGGGGCCGAAATGGTGAATGCCAGAGACGTCTTCAGTGGCGATGTCTCTCAGGTAGTGGTTGGCAAACACCATGTCCGATTTCCAGAAGCAGCCCTCCATTATTGTCGTGATAGAGCAGTTTCCATGTAGAGCGAGTGTTGACACCAGAGCTCTAATTTCATGTGGATTGGAGGCTCGTGGAGGATCAAGTCCTGCTGCTTTGTAGGCCCGTAGAATGACAGTTCTCATCCATATTGATATCGTAGTGCGAGAGATCTCTGTCTGTGTCTCTGCCG